TAAACATTTATGAGCCCTAGGATTGATGTGCCTAGGTATATAGGCAGAGGGGTCAGATAAGCCAGAGACAGGCATGGGTCCTCAAAATATAGCTTGATGTCCACATTTCAACATTGTTTTAATTGGATTTTATTATTTCTTCATAATTATCAATAACTATCAAATTATTACTAAGTCTTGAGCTCACCCTGAAACTCCAGACCTATTCCCTTTGAATGAGTGGTATTTTTTCCATCATGGTCCACTGGATCTCTTGCAGATGGCAGAATTTAATGTGCTTACTGCCACAGATCTTTAACATGGTTCCCAAGTTTTTCAGTATAGACTTTGTAAATAGGTTCCATTTGAAGCTTTCCATGTTATTAACTAGTCTTGCTTGACATCACATTTGAAGTTCAGTTGCATGGAATATGAAAGGAGTGATCTCCAGAGAATGCTTTGGCTATATCACTGCTGAAACAAACCCAGGCTTCTTGATAGGAGATCTCAACAGGCAAAGAAACCGAGAGCAAACTGACAGATATTCAGTGAACAGTTAAAGTGCCCTGCTCTTTTTGCACAAATGAGATTCCACATCAGTCACCTTCTGCATATTTATGACCAGTATTTCTATTAACTAAGATCACGGGTTGATTTACTCTCTTTTCCACTTACTGGGAAAAGGCACTATATTGCAATAGTGGTTCAAAATATATTTTTTGAAAAAAATTATTCAGCCTCCTGTCCTCCTGCCTTAATATATTCCAGGATATTGTGTGTCTTAAGAAAATTCCTACTAGAATGTTGTGAATAATCTCTTGGGGTTTCAGCAGAATAATAATAGCATAATCATATATTTAACATGAAACCAAAGGACTATCATTGGGTGGATTTTTTGTTGCACTTTAAATGTTTTGGTTGCAAAAACAAACATCAATCAATTAGTTCTTAGATAGTCCTCTCTTATTCTCCTGAGATAATACATTTTCTGGTGGGAAACTGCATCCTCCTTCCTCAACGAAGTTTTCTTACCCAAGACATAGATGTAACAACAAGCGTTGCATGAGCCTAGAAAACAGTTTCCAGGCAAGAGTCTAGTTTATTTTCAATCAGTATTAGTGACTGTCGATATCCATTTCCCACCTATAAACTAAAAATAAAAGAAGTCTCCCAGAAAGATTGGGTTTTTAAAGAAGGATTTCCTTGCAGATATTGCACAAAATTACTAAAGTATTACTGTTACTACCTTGCATATTATTCATTTGATTTGAACTGACTACCGAAACATTACTTTTTAAAATGAAGGATTTCCATAGAGATAGAGCACAACACTCGCACATATTTCTAAAATTACACAATCGCATTTTTGTCATGAATGAATTATCTTTTTTTAAAATTCGTACCCTTCCTTTCTCTTACAGTCACATTAATGGTAAATATGAGAAATAATTTTAAAATTAGTTCATATTAAGACTCGTTTGAAATATTAGGTGGAGAGTTGAATAAAATAACAATATTGTTGATTTTCCAGTTTTTAATCAAAACCTACTAAATAGAGAAAATTTTAATGCTTTTGATCTTTATGAGCTATGGTTATGCCCCAAAGACTGACAGGCTATACAATGGTAATGAACCTCTGAAGATAAAAAATGGGAAATGCAACAAAAACGGGCCTATTCTGTAACTGCAGTAAAAACAAATAGTAATTCCATGGAGGTTCAAAGAGCAAATAGAAACAGATACTTATGATCCCCTATAAATTGCAAACTGTTCCTAATCTAGTACATTTTATTCCTGCTACAGTTTTAATTATTACCATTGGGTTACAGTAATGTACATGTGGTACTGCTCCTACTCCTTCATATACATCTTTTTGTACTGTTTTAACTGTTACTTGCTGTAAGCCGCCCCGAGTCCCTTCCGGGAGAGGGGCCTGGATATAAATAAAACACTATTATTATTGTATTGTCGAAGGCTTTCATGGCTGGAATCACTCAGTTCTTAAGAACTGAACTATTATTATTATTATTATTATTATTATTATTATTATTGATATTAAATTCTGAAATTTTGGGGAAGTATAACAGCCTGTTGTTCATGAAAATCAGTTTTGACTACATGCCCCTGACATCATGTCTAATTGACTATTGTAGCAATAGTAGCAATGTTTCAGAAAGCTTGTTATGAGTTTTGTATAGACTGAAAAGATATAAAATCATAAAAATTTGTCTCACAAGAGTCCATGGTGCAACACAAGTTGTCTATGTTCTACAAACAATTACCACTCTACAGTACCATCTCAAGGTTATAGAAATTTAAAGCCTGCATACAGCTAAAACAGATGTGACATTTGTCATGTGGTTTGACATTGTATGGCTGATATTTTTAAACATGTAGCCAATACTATTGGAGAAATTTCACCTATTGTGAATACTAAGTATGGGGGCAATTCTCCATAAAGAGCAAAGAGTTAAAGCCCACCCTGAGCTATTTGGAATTTGGGGGGTTGGGGAGGGGGGGGTTAAGGCTATGCAATGTAAGCCATGCAACATGTGTTACATTTAATGCTACCATTAAAAGTCAAGACAAGTGGAAGGTAAACATGTTTATGGTTTAGCTCTGATAATATGAACAGCCACTTTGATTTTACTGAAACAGAAATGATCTACAATATATTGTTGAATTTTTTCATTTACTTTAATGAACTTTCAAGCTCTGATTTGTTCAGATGTCCTGAAAACATAATTGATGGGGTTTTTAAAATCCAATATATGTTTTATGCACATTATTACTCAAAATAACCGTACCTTTTTGATTTACATTTTTCCTTCCTCAGAGTGTAAATCTCTAATCATAGTTTTATTCTAGGTCCATTCGATTTCAAGAGATGCTGGAGATCACCATGATACTAATTTTAATGTTTTACTCTGAAACGTGTAGGCCAGAAAGTGACTGATATTTCACACTACTGAATTTCTGTACTTTGTCATCCTTTCCCAGTATACTAGCCCCATCAGTGGTATAACAAATTAAAAGGTTTTAGTGTATGGTTTTAGTGTCCAGTTTCCCAAAAAGCCTCTGTTCCACAGTGTGCATGAAAATTTCCCTTGTGAAACTCAAAAATGTATTTTATTACCTTCCAGTTCCACACTGTGCTCCCTTTTTCCTTCCTCCACAAGGCAGTTCCTCTAAATTTCATTTAGCCCAAAATATTTTCAGTCCTGAGTGCTTTAGTTGGAGTGCATAGCAGTGTTCCGGAGAGAACCACAGTAGTGTCTTGTCCATTTGTTATAACCAGCTTTTTCGAAGATTCCTAAACCTGGTCTGCCCATAGTCATTAGTAGAATCAATTGTTCCTCCCTTCTGCATTTTTCTTCCATCAAGTTTTCTGGGAACTTGGATTTTCATTTTACCCATGACCTGCACTTCCCTGAGCTAAGAATAGCAAATACTGTGCCACTTGGGTTCAGTGTTTTCAAAACAGGCCACAGCTGGAGAAACAGGAAAATCAAACTAGTTCAGACTCATAAACAACTAGAAGTCTGGAAGTGTGCATTACCTCTTCATATTAAAAGAAAAAGGTGAGGAATATTTGGGACATGCAAACGTCTTGAAAATAATTTGTAATCATACATTTTCAGACCCTTTTTAAAAGGGAGGCAAACCAAGTCTCAAAGTGCATAGGAATTATTGTAAATTTTTAGTTTACAGGCTCCCTGAATTAGCATATTTTTAATTTGCCTCAAATAATTGAGGAAGCACCTAGTACGGCAATGGATGGATTAAAATAGACATGCATTATAGAAAATAACAATTTCTGTTTGAAGGACAACAATCCTGATTACAGTGAGGTGCAGGCCACTATAAACCTGCTAGAATTTTTGAAAATGTGTTGATGGTTGATAATTGTATCCTTTTTCATCATTTCATTACAAGATTCTTTCCCTGGTCTGCCCTGCTATATCTCCAGCATATTCCATAAACAATTGATATTATATTTTCTTTTCATTGAATCTGAGCAGAGTATTTATCCATTACCATAAGATTGTTTCCTCATACTAAGTCCCCAGGATAATAAGGAATGCTAGAGTCAGTGCTTTTTTATTTCAGAGCTACATATACACATTAAGACAGAAATAGGCAATATGGCTCAAGGGCCGCCCCTGGACCCCAACAATATGACTTTCAGGGCCCCCAGGAATCAATAATTGCACCAAAATGACTCCAAATATACTCTAAGTACTATGATGGAATTTCCACCATGTTTGGAGGCAAAACATTATCTGCATCCCCATCCCCCAAAAGAAAAAAAAATCCCCTCCTAGATACCTCAGTTTACACCACTGCCTGGCAATTTAGGCTTTTTGGAAACAAAAGGCTTTTGAAACAGGAAGTGACTACTGCTCACTTCCTGCTGCTAAAAGGGCAATTCATCAGCCTGAAATGATCCAGGAACGTCCCGAAACATGATGAAAATGTCCCTCATGCCCCCTAGAAGGTGTAAGGGAGCAAAAATGTGGAGGGATTAATTTTTGTTTTTGCAAGAGACAGTACTGTGGACAAGTGCAGCCCTTCAAGATGTCCTGGGCACTAATGTGGCTTTGTATCTTTGAACTAAGGAATGATCTGTTTCCCATATTTTCTGCTCACTCTGAAATCCTGAGCTTACATGTCTATCTAGAATGCATTCAGACTGGTAACGCTCACAGAATGAGCAAGGGAAGATTAAGATCAAGAAAGAAGGAGTCTTTCAAATCATTCAGACCCAGAGAACCATTCCATTCTACATCTTGCACTTATATCAGGCAGTCCTTATATAAATACCTGATCCCTTTGGTTTCAGTGGGATTGCTTTTCTGAGTAATACCAGCATGTGTGGCTATATCGAAAATCCTAATCATAGCTACTCATAAGACCCCTGGAGGATACCAGGGCAATAATTCTAATGCCAATTTTGAACTGTTTTTGTCTGTCTAACATTCCTTTTTAATCCCCATCCTGCCTGCCCCTTCCTTATGTAGGGTTACTTTAGTGATCCTTGGAATGTTTTTGACTTCCTCATCGTAATTGGCAGCATTATAGACGTCATTCTCAGTGAAACTAATGTGAGTATTACTCTACCCTCCCTAGGATGCCACCAAATCCTTCTTCTCTTCTTCCTTCTTCTGTTTCCTTTTTTTCCTTTATGTTTTCTTCCCTCTAGTCATGCCTTTATTGAACTTGCCGTCGTCCTTCTCTCATAGGGAAAAAAGGAGGAGGTTGAAATCCTCCTCTTTTTTTCACTTGTCACAGCTGTGACTGGTGAAAGTGCACAGAGCTTGGGGTGTGTGTGCTTTTTTTCCTCCAAAAACCAGACATGTTTGAGTGCAACATTCTAACTAACAAGGTTTTTGTTGATACCCTCCGTCATGTTTCAGAGGTATGAGCAGCCAGTACTGTAGAGTGGTAAGAGCCTCTTTAATATGCCCACGTAACCTCTTTCTTTTCTTATTTTTTTCTCTTCTCTCCCTCTTTCATGGTTTGTTTCTTTATTTAATTTTTCTTTATTTATATATATATACTTTTTTTCTTGCTTTCTCTCTTCCTCTTTATTTCTTTCTTTCTCTTTTTCCTCGGCTTCTCTGCCACATGCAGCACTATTTCTGTGATGCATGGAATACATTTGACGCCTTGATTGTTGTGGGTAGCATTGTTGATATAGCAATCACCGAGGTGAACGTAAGTAGCTGGCGTCTGTCCATGAATGTGCCTGCTTTTAACATCCATTTGTCTTTTCCAGTTTTTTTAATCTCTTCTTTTTTATTCTCTTCCCTTCTTTCTCCTTCCCTTTTTATTTAAAGATTTTTTTAAGGATTGCTTTTTTGTTGTTCTGAATATGTTTGTTTGCTTGTTTCTTTAACTTTTGGAAAAACTTTGAGGACTTTCTGACTGTTGCATCATTTTCTTTCCCTCATAACCAGCCTGGCATGAGTAAAACTGTATAGTAGGAAAACTAATGAAAACTATGTGGAGTGAATGCACAAAGAGCAGGTTTGTGTCCTAGGAAGTTACAAAAGTAAACCACATTTCAACTTTTGGTTCCTCAAACTTGTGTTAAACTTCCCAGGGCACTGAGCTACTTGTCACTTCACAGAGATCTGTAGGACAACTCTTTCGAGGTGGAACAGAGAGAACCAAGTGTGGAAAGCTTTCTGTTAGGCCTCCATATCTCCAACTTCAAATAATGATCCCAAAAACTTCAATTGTTCTACAATACAATTTTTATAAACCTGCAGAATTATAAAGCTGTCTTCCATTAAGGAAAAGTTACATTGGGGGAAAGTATGAAGGGAAGAATTCTCCTTCCAAAAAGAACTGAGAGCATTATACCCATCCATTTCTGGCTTAGGACACATTTTGGCATGACAAAATCTGCCAGCATGGCTTGCTGATTGTTTATATATATAGCATTGGTTTCAGACATGAATGATATACATAGAAGGAAGCCTGCAATGAAGAGCCTATGTTTTTTTTAAAGTTCATCATTACAGAAACAAGGAAGGGAATGTCCTGTAGATGTTATGAGATCCAAGCTCTCATAATTTCTCACCATTAATCATAATGTCTGGAGCTGATGGGAACTGGCGACCAATAACATCTGGAAGGCCACCCTTCTTTACAGAAACATAATGGAGCAGATCAAGAATAAGGAATTATTATTATTGTTTTGGAAGTCATGCTCTACAGTTAGACATGCAGTAAATATTCTGTACTTCAGGGACAATTTTCACAGAAAAAGAATATGTCATCTACAAAATGCAATAATCTTATTAAATAAGTATTGAGGTTACCAACTCAATATTTTAGATTAGGTAATTCAGAGGTAAACATTCGTGCATGTCCCACCTTTCATATGCATATACCAATCACTGGCTGGCATGGTTAGCTTGCATCATATTGTTTGAAGAATGAGGCCTTTTTGTCTTCTTCTGTTCACCTGAGGCTTAATTCACTAATCAGAAATATAAGCCAGTGACTCAGCTTGTATATGTATAAAACTCCTCACTAATCATTATAACAGTACACAAATTAGCTTTATGCAAAAGGATTCCATACAGTAGCATATAATATAAATAGATGCAATTAAATATATTAAACAAAGGAAAATGTCTTTTAACATTGTTATTTTTGAAGCACACCTCCTAGGACTTCATCACACAATACATTTTCAACATCCTAGGACACGGTGGCCCCATGTTGCACATCAGACAATGCAGGCTCACTTCCGGTGGTGCATCGAGGTTTAACCGGGATGCAAATGTCTTATGACACTGCACCAGCAACATGCATCATGGGGAAGCATCGCTGCCGACAAGGCGGAGTGTTGAGATCACCCCACTGCCCTGCCAATTCACCGCAGAGGCTGGTGAATTGGCACAGGGGACCTCATCAATGTGATGAGGTCCTAGTAAATAAGTAGAACTTAAACATGGAATTAGAAAATATATTTGGCAAACTCACTGACCTGATATCTAGTCCAGGTAAAATACTAACCTGGAAAAGATATCCAGATATCTTTTAACATTTTTAACAGAAAACACAACACTGGCAATGATGTTTTAATCTGTATTCACAAAAGCAGTACATAAATACTGAGAATTGAATTAATTACATTAAATTAGCAAGGCTGGAATAGAGCAGATTTAAGTTTAGCAGTTATTAGTATTACTAAAATTTAGCCAGAGCTGTCTTCCTTCCCTATATAGAGAGCTTCCAAAATTGGATTGCTGACATTGATGATGGTTCCATTAATCCCCTCTAAAGATTACCTTCCTACTATACAGACTCTACAGAATTCTGCACATGTCTTTTTATTACCTGGCATGTTTTAATTTTATATTTTGATCCTTGCTATTATAATTCCTAACATTTGTTATTAAGAAGTTATTTATTTTGATTTGATTTGATTTGATTTTCCTTTTTGTTTTTATTTGCACAATATCTGATGCACTGATAATTTACATCAGTTAAGGATGGAGTTTATTCCAAACTGTTTGAAATCCTATTGCACATATTCCTGTTGAATATGAGAATGAACTTTACTGTACATCAGTTTGTCCCATCAAAATATTTTTGCTGCTTGAAGCTTTTGGTATGAAACAATCCCCTACTAATCCTCAGCAGACGAGCACTAATTTGCTATGGAGCAAATTGCAAAGTTTTCCTCTTCCTAAGCAATGCAAAATTATTTGATGAGCAACTTTCTTTACGCTCCACGCCATAGAAGATGTATTGCTTTGCTCACTGTTGGTGAGCCGTGTCAAATCTGCCTTTCATGCCTATATACTGTGTCATTCTGGACCATGTGACCTGGAATTGTGATAGATAGAGGGTGAAGAGGAGAAAAATTATTCATAACCTCCAGATTACAGTAGTCTCTGATTTCATACCAAATTCAAGTATCATGTGGGTAGCAGCTCTGAAGCAATAGGGCTAATTAGTTTTTTGTAGAAACTGAAAATATGCTGTATTAAAATGGTAGCTTTCTTTTTTGCTCTATATTGAAAGTGAACCTTTCTTGGCTTGAGTTACTATGTCATGAAAGGTGATGGATGCACTGAATAGGAACACTCTGTGAAGTCCACCTGGGACTTTGCCAAACAGGACGGATTTCACTGGGAAGCATTTAATTGGCATTCAAGCAAAAAGGAAGAATAGAAAGTACAAAGATACCTTGTTAAGGAATGTGTATGTGTGTGAGAGGAAGGGAAGAAGAGGTGTGTGCCTGGACATCTTTTTTCATTTAACCGAAAACAGAATGAGAGTACTTAAAATCTCCCAAAAATGCAGGAACATGTCTATAGTTCATCTTTGCTTTCTCATGAAGTGGAGATGGTTACCTAATTGCATATTTAGTAATATACTGGTATTTCTTTGCTTTTTACAAGGAAACCCTTCAGTAGCGATCCTTATTTGTGTAACTTCTGTAGGAAATTGAATTCAATTGCTATAACACTAAGTATGAAAACAAGAGATGATAAATACAAAGGAACACTTTATAGTTTCCAGTAATAGTTAATTCCCTCACTGTTGTTCCCATCAACTTCCCATACTGTCTGGAAGCTGTTTGTTCCATCAATATTTTGTTGTAAACAAAATAGATATTTAATTACAACCTTTGACACTTCAGCTTTAATTTGAGAAATATAATAACTACCCATGTATGTGCGGGACCAGTATCCATGGTTCCATTTATCCACATCTGATAAATATGTCCTTTTATGCTTTTTCTCCTGTGCAACTCTGTGTTATTCTTGGGCCAGAAGTCCTTCATTTTTATAGTGATTACTACTATCCCAAGTTTTGTGTATCTATGCCAAGTCCAGAAATGTGGCTACAGGGGCCATACTGTAATCCTAAATGCTGAAAATAGTTTGATGATCTATTGATCATTCTTTACAACTGAATGCTGTAATACATAAAAGATTCTTGAGGAACTAGATATTCATATGTGCAAAAACAAAACAGATTTAAAAATCCTTAGAACTTTAACACATAAACCTGTCTTATCACAATCACATTCTTTAAGCCAACAGAAACACACTGTTACTCAAATGATCCCTTTGACTCCATGGTGTAATTGTATGATGCTGGCACTTTATTAATGCAAATTCCCATAATCAGTTTTCAACCAGTCTCGCTTTCTACTCTTGTTTGCCTTACACAATGTGTGCATACAGATTTTTTTCCTGCTATTTGGTCACAACTTTGTAGTTGCACAGTTTTTGCATTTTCCATCACTTAGCAATACTTTGCAGTGGAAGGAACTTGTTGCAAATGGAAGAACAACAGAAAAGTGAAATTGGATTCATTCATGTATTTTCCCCCCATTAGTGAAAAAAGATGATGTAATACTGATTCAAGTACAATGTGACTACACGACAGCCACAATCTTGTATTTTATGCCCCACCAACAGACAGCTTTATCCTGCCAAAATTGCTCTTTAGCAGCCTCATGTGATAAAGTACTAATTATCAATTAGAGCAGAAGCCTAGAGAATAATCTGTAGGGACAGGTCTATATTGATCTAGACGTGGATATAGCACATATCTGGTTAAGAGACTATCTAAAAACTCCATCTACTAATCAGATAAAGGGTTGAGTGTTTGGATGCTCATAAAATTATCACAACCCTTTATAATAGTAATTTAAACGAACACAGCATTTTATATTAAGAGCAACTCAGTTTTTCAAATTATTCTGCCCGCCTCTATAAAAATTAACTAGATAACTTTTGAAAGAATAAAAATAATATTTATGTGCATTTGTTACATATCCTCCAAAAATATCTTCACCTGCCATCACTGCTGACACGTCTATTGTTAAATAAATAAACCACCTGAAAATTTCCCAGCATATTAATCTCAATTATGAAATATTTGAAAATAACATTTTCTCCTTTGAGAGTGCAGCATTGTTCTACTGACGGATCTACAAGGAGTTTTTGACACTCAGTTCAGACTGCTCCTGAAGCAAGTGTCCTACTCCAGTATAAGGAACATTCCCATCTTCTATGTGTTATAGCACATGAATCCTCATGGCGAAGCCTAGCGAAGGAGGTTTTCTCAGAATCAAAGTTTTATAATTAGATATGTTTCATAAATTTATTGTTTGTTAATTTGGGTATAAGCTGACTCAATTTGCATTTTCCAAACTAATATATAGCTTATAATGATGT